GAGAACTTGCACAATTGGTGGCTGACTAAATACTTTTTTGCCCCACTGTATGTATATATGTGTGTGTGTATATATATATAAAAAAAATAATATATACACATACATACTATAGAGTGTAATATAGGAATAGTAAAGAAGAAGCATAATAGTAATAGAATAGTTATAGTATAGAGGAAATACTGTAATAGTAACTGAATAGTAATAGAGTATAGTAATTATTTTATTTATTTATTAAATGTATATGCCGCCCATCTCCCCCAGAGGGGATATAATATATTACAATAATGTAATTAGCGTAGTAATATAGAAATAATAGTAATAGCATATCCAATAGAGACAATACAAAGCACTCACATATAGATTTGTAAGTTTCACATTTCACTTTTGTATCTTTTTTTTTTTTTAATAAAACCTCTCCCCAACTCTTATAGGTTGCTGGTCCAGGGTCCAGTGCTTTTGTGGCTCTTTTGAGTCTGGGTCAGTCTAATTGGGTGCAGTTTAGAACAGAACCCGTGACAGAAAGCCAGAAGAAAGAGGCCACCTCCTGCCAGAGAGGGAATGAGACTGACAACCCCAGAGAGAGAATTGCAGCCAGCATAATGAACTCACTTATCTCAAAGTAGGACACAGGAATAAAACCTTGAGGTAGTAATGCTCTAATTTGGCCAGTATTAAACTATGCACATTAACTTAACCCAAGATTTTACCCCAGTTGGGAATCTTTTCTTTGCTAGTGGAGATGTAAGTAGCCTAGAAAGGCTTGGCCACTATATATCCACCAAGTCTCTGTTGATCTGACTCTGCGGCATGATTTAATGCTGCTTCTTGCCTTTTTATCAGTAAGAAAGATAGGAGAACAGAGAGAAAGGAATTTGGCTTTCTTAACTGCACTAAATGAAATGAAACACTGCTTGAAAATGAAACTTGCTTTGCTCTGCTGTGTTAATTTTAAAAAAAATCACAGGAGATGTTTTGTTTGCTGTGAGATGGATTAGATCCTGTGAACCCACAGAGCCCTTGTGGCAAGTCTATTATGTTATTTCAGTGTTAAACCATTTCTCTATTGCATTATTCCACTGTTTCACTATTTCAGATTCGCACTAAACCTGTAATAGACATAGATTTAATACATGGAGAATGCTGTCGGTTGAGTAGTCTAGCATTATTGTACAATTCTGACCTTTGGTATAGTACTGCTGTATCCATCTCTTTAGAGCAGTGTTTCTCAACCTTGGCAAATGTAAGATGTGTGGACTTCAACTCCCAGAATTCCCCAGCCAGCATGCCACATTCCCAGCCACTGCTTTAGAGAGACAACAGCAGAATATCTGCAGGTAGGGCTGATCAGGGACTGGAAGGGAAAGAGCATGCCTCAACCTGAAATAGCCAATAAACACCCTCTACTGATCATCATCTCTGACATAATGGGTGGTGAGGTATAACAGATTTTACACATCTTGTACCCATCAGCTTAAGGAAGAAAACACTATTTTAATTCCAGTGCAGCTAAGGTCAACTTAAGCCTATCCCATTCATATACTCAGGCTGAGAGAAAAGCAACATGGAGGCAACATATAACAGAATAAAATATTTTTTTGAGGGTCCTTTGACACTTAGTAGGTTTGTGGCAAGTTGAATTTTGATATCTACTTTTGTAAGCCCCTTAAATCGACTAAGGAGGTTTGGTTAAAAAAAAAAATTGCATACATTTTACAGCATTCAGGAATAGGCCTTCTCAGTTCAGTTGTCCTTGAGATCAGACAGCTCTGTCTCAGATCTGGAATTTGTCATAATGGAATTCTAATTCTATTTCCTTTTCCAATTTTATTTCCTTTTCCATTTAGTGGTATGCTTTGATGCCAAGATAAACTTTGATGACAATGCTGAGTTCAGGCAAAAAAAGATATTTGCCATGGATGACAAATCTGAGAATGAACCTATGGAAAATGAGGCTGCCTGCTACGACTTGAAGTATATAGGTCTGGATGGAAACATTGCCTGTTTTGGTGAGCAAAAGCATCCTGTTGCTATAACTTCCTGGTCTGGACTGAAAAACCATATGCCTATCATTACACAACTAAACAGAGTTGGACTGAAGCTTTTCAACAGGCACTTATGACAAATACCTTTGGAAGTAAAGGGTTTTTCTAAGCATGAAAAGGCACTGGTTTTGTGGGGAGGAAAACTTCCATTAAAAGAAAATAACAATTCCATTAAAGGCACCTGAGCTCAGTCATGCCTAACATTGCCATTTGACTCCCAGCTCCCTCCATAATGGTTGGGAAACTACTGGAGTTAGAGCTGCATAAAGGAATGTAGACTAGCAGTGTTTTTAACCCTTAATCTGCATCTAGATTAACACCACTGGTACATTATCTCTATAAACACCACAGATACCAAATGGCAAAACATGGATTTGCTGCTTCGTTTGGAATCTTATTGTTGAAATAATGAACTTCATGAACCAAAGATGCACACTTGTGCACTGCCACATGTCCCATCTACATGCCAGGCCAGTGTATGAACCTGCCCCTATATTATAAGCCATCTGAATAGAGACTGAGTCTGTATTTGGTATTTTTGATTTGATTTGATTTGATTTATATAAACGCCCATCTTGCAAAGTGACTGGACAATGAACATAATTTAAAAACTTCCATATAAAACAACCAAAAACATATAGGAAAAATGTATCCAGCACATGTTTTTCAGAATGGTTTGGCTGTTTTACAAGGCTTGTATTTTTTCTCCTGTACAATAATATCAAAAGCAATCAATATGGTAATTGCTCACAAGTTAAAATCTTCATTCATACCACTCTTTTTCTGAATGAAAGAGAATGCTTTCCAAGGTGAAGAATGTTGATGCTATTTTTTTTTTCACATTAAACAACCACCTTAGATGAAATGATACAAAATTTAAGTTTCTGTGTCACTCACTCATGAGCCATAATCTGAAACTATAAAACAACGCTTTATAGTAGATGGTTGAGACTCACAGAGCTTCATAAGTGGGATATCTCTGATTATTTATGTATTGGTTTCTCATGGCAGCAGACTACTCTGAAATTTCTGCAGAAGAGCCACTTAAGTTTCAGATATCATACACGGACAACCTTAGAATTTTCCACATCATTTTTAACTTCAAAACAGCCACATGTGTCTGTTTCCATTTTGTCACAAAATGATTATTGGGAATGAAGTTTAACTGTTTTCTCTCATACAATATTTTCCCAATTCTGCTCTTTGCTTCCCATGACTGGAAGCTGTGTATTGTGTGTTTGTGTAGTCCAGATCCTAACTTCTGGTATTTTTATTATGAACAACAAAAAAATGGCACATCTCTCATGTCATGTTTATTCTTTAATAGGAATCACAGAGTTGCATTTTAAGTCGGGAGCTCATAATTCCTTTATCCGCATGGAATTTTCCTAAGTTGTCATTTTAATGGACTAAGCCATTTTCTTCTCCCTCATTCATGAGTTAAGCATCTTTGCAATGCGGAGAGCCCTTAATGTATAAAGAACCCAGCAGTTTTTAAAAAGAAAAATTAAGACATTGTTTTCAAAACAGTAACTAGTGGGAAATTGCTAAAAGGATAACTTTTTAAAAATATATTGTTAGAAAGTATTTGTTTTATGCAATGTTAAATAAATTAGGCATGGCCCATAAAACTGCTAACTAAAGGATCAGTGGTAAGTGAAGGAGTAAAATGAAGAAGTGAAATATGGAGTTTCTTCTGATTTTATAATTGGCTTTTGTTACTTCTTTTTTATTCCTCTATTGTACTGAATGTGGGAAGAGGGGACAGGGAGTTAGATTCGATAAAATGTTCTCCAGCCTACATAGCACCTTCCTAGGAGTTCAGCCTCCCTGTTTCCTCCTCTGCTCCCCCACCTTTCTAGATGCTCCATCTTTTCAGATGTCTCCCACTACCTGATCACTCACCAGCACTCCTCACCCCTTTACTAATATTCAAGGAAAAGGGGGAATTGATTGCTTTTTCATTCAAAAGAGACTTATTCCCTACTTCTGCTCTTTCTGAGTCATACATTGAGATAGATGGTGAGTATAAGAAAGAGCAGAAAGTTGCCTTAAGTCTTTTTCTCATCACTAGGCATAAGCAATACCCATTCCCAGCATTATTGTGCTGAGGACAAACTCTGTTGAAATAGACATTGGCAGTATTTGGTGTCTTGCTTGCTTATGCTGTGGTTTATTCATTCAGCGTTTCTGGGTCTCCTCCCCCTCTTTTTTTTAACTCTATAAATTGGGGCACATTGCATCACATTCATAGGACTTGGAAGCAAATGTCCAGCCTTCCATAGGTTTATTTTTTTCTTCATCTATTCCTTTCTCTTCTTACTTCTGTTCTTTTTCTTTTATCTTCTCCCTCTCTTTTGGTTTTGGCACCTTGGAACTACATTTGCACATATTCATATTTCACCTTTTAAAAAATTCAATGATTTAACTCTCTTAATTACAGTAAATGGCGCTGGACTTGCAATGGCAACCTGTGATATAATTTCCCTTAATGGTGGAAAACCTGCCAACTTCCTGGATCTTGGCGGAGGTGTAAAGGAAGCCCAAGTGTATCAAGCATTCAAATTGCTCACTGCAGATCCCAAGGTAAAACAAAAAAACTTGACTTTGACAGAAGATTTCTTAATACATACAACTGTATGTTGTTTTCATAAATCCAAAAATGTACTTTAAAATGTAAACTGTGAAACTGCAACAACTGTACTGTTCCTTCTGAAGATGTGATAGCTGCAAGTCTCATCTGTTCAATCTAGTTTACAGTAGCTTCTTATTTGCTGATTTCATTCTAAAGTCTCACAGTTCAAATAAGCAAAAAAGTCAGATGGGCCTAAGCAGTCTTCATGTACCAGTGTTTCAGTGGTAGAAAATATATGTTGTTCAGGGTTCTTGGTGTCTCTGACCTTGTTGTTTTCCTGCAGAGATTTCATTACCAGGCTAGATAACATCATCAGTGCACATCAGACATTTGCAGGAAAACAGTCAAGCTCAAAGAACTCCAAGTACAGCTGTTTCCATCCACTTCATGGTATTAATCCAGGCCTTGCTAATTTGTCTGGGTGCCTCTTTCAATGCATATAGAGAGATGTTTCTATTCTAGATCACCAGTTGTTACACATGACAGAGTTACTCAAAACTACCCTGTATGGCAAACACAGTTTTCATTTCAGCAAACCATTCATGTCTTAACTGATCAGGTATTTAGAAGCATTTCAGTTTTAACCAGCCCTTTTATGTTTCAAAGTAATATTTTATTTTATTTTATTTATATTTCACATTTGTCATTGCCCATCTCCCTAGAAGATGTTTTCCAAACATATATGGAAAAGGTTTGTCCAGATGGTCAGATGGCATGCTGGTGGTGTAGGAGCCATTTACCCACTGCATCTCCTATACAAGGCACCAGAACTCCAGAAATTACATAGAGATCTTTCAGAAGGGGTTTGGTAGCACCTTTTCAGACTAACACATTTTGTTAAATTAATTACACTTATTACATTAATTATATTTTATTAAAAGACATAAGCTCTCACTCAATAGTGCTGATAAAGTTCCTTTATTCTAAGCCAACTACTTTGAGACCTATGATGAAGTGTCCTGGGTAGTTAAAATGCTCTGAAATTACTTTGTTCTTGTTTTGGGTCCTGATATGAAATTTTTGTCCATTATTTTTCTTGTGAAAGGTTTGGCCTGTGTGCCTTACATGGAATTCAAATAAGGGTAGTTCAGGCATATCAACTGAGTGAGAGATTGCTGAACTCACATAACTGTAACCTGCCTCATCCCAGTTCAAATCCTGCATCTATTTAGCCATTCCATGGATCTTATGAAGTGTACTGTAGTTTATAAAAGCTTATGCTTTTTTAATAAAATCTGCTAGTCTGAAAAGGTGGTATTAAACTCCTTTTGATTTTTTGCTACCATAGACTAACACAGCTGTCCTTCTACATAGACAACTTTCCTGTACTTGCTCACCAGCATAGGACTATAAGTGTTAAGATAATAATATAATTGGTGTCAGTATCCTAGAAACATTTGATGGCCAGATACTGGAGGAGGAGTTGTTGTTATCCTGATCAGCTCCATCCCTCTTATTAATATGTGAAGGAAGTAGGGAGGATATGCTTTTAGACATTTTTCAGCTGCATAGAATCACACCATATAGATGAAGGACCAACCACCCATGCTTCTGGATAAGCGTATCCAAAGAAAAGAAGGATATTAAATTGGCTAGAACACAACAGAAACAGCCAATTTAATTGTGTTTCTTTGGTTTGGATGATCACTACAGGAGGATGTCCTCTTGATTTTAGTGGTAAGTCTCAGTGGGGCCTAAGAAACAACTTGAACAGATTTTTGCACCTTCATTAGGCCTTGCCCACAGCCTTTCTGACCAGGAACCCTCCAAATGTATTGGGCTATCACTTCCACAATTTCCGGCTAGCATGCCTGTTAACTTTACCAGCTGTGAGGTATTGTAGTTTTGTATTGTAGTTCAACATAACTGTCTGGTCTCTTATTTTAAGCTTCAGTTCCCTCCCCTGACAAATGATCGAAAGGGCTGGTTTATTGGAATATCTGCTTATGTTGATCCTTTTTAAAAAAAAAAAAATCTGTCTCAATTTTGTTGGATGCTTTTGTTTTTCTTTTATGTGCTCTTTTTTTCATTGTTTCGTTGATCTGTTTTATTTAATATTGCTCACTTGCCCTTGCTCTTTATATCTGCAAAATATTTATCTTGTTTCTTGCACACCAGAGAAGCACTTTGGCCTCCTGATATTTGTCTCCCTACCCTTTTGTTCTCTTGTTCTATTTTCAGCCAACTGCTTTGGTTCTTGTTCCTGCATACACTCTGCTGCTCTTTCAAATGCATCTTTTCTAAATTTTCCCACTAGACAAGGTGTGTTCCCTCCTTCCCTGCCCTCCCCCCCAAAATAAGTGTCCTGCTAAAAACTGTGTTTGCCTTTGGGCACCTTGCTAATAGGAATGTCAGGTCTTGACATGTAGCTACAATTGGTGCCTGTAGCTTTGTACGTTGTAGATTTCAAATCATAAAGAAATTATTGCCATCCTTTAAAAAAAATTATTAACTCTCATTCCTTTGACTGTGTTCGTCTGTACTCCAGCTATTGTTCCCTGTTTTTTTCCCCTCCAGTTCTTTCTAAATGAAGCACTTTCTAACTGCTAGTCCCTTGGCCCTGCAGTGTGACTGATTTTAGCTTTTACCCTTTGGGCACTGCTATGGCCAGGGTGATTGCTTCATGCTGACAAGCCATCTGAGATACAATTTTCCCTCCTTCCTTCCTTCCTTCCTTCCTTCCTTCCTTCCTTCCTTCCTTCCTTCCTTCCTTCCTTC